CAGGTCTGAGGCGGGAGGACCGATGAGGACCCAGGTGGCCGGGGCAGGGGAGACTGAGGGCCTTCAGTGTGTCAGGTTGGACGGGAGGGGTGAGGGGGGTCCTCTCTCACCTTCATACCACAGGGCAGCCGGTGGGGTTCCCCGTCACCATCCTCCCTCACCATCCTCCGCCTGATGAGTCCTGAGGCCCCTCCTGCCCTCCCAGGGCCCCTAGCCTCACTTCAGCCCCCACAGTGAGGCCTGCGCCTACCAGCCACGTCCCAACTGCACATCTCCTATATTCTTGCCTGCCTTTTCCCTCTCCATTGCCTGGCGAAAACCCAACCTGGCCTCCGCCCTCAGCCGTCCACCCATTCATTCATTCGTTCTACAGTGGACTGATTTTCCACCCTCTGGCCCTTGCGGAGCTAAGGTAGAAGTTGGGGGGGGATAAGCAAAGGGCAAGCACTGTCACCACAGTGAAGGGAGCTCACCATGTTCCCCTACACCTGCTCCCTGGCCTGTGTCCTGCTGCAGAGAATGCCCCCCCCATCCATGGGGACATTCAAGCCAGAATTCCCGAACTTATCATTCACTCCAACTTCATGGAGCATTACAGCCTGCGCGGTGTCAGCTAGCCTGGCAGAGCATGGCTGGGGAGGGCTTGAGCGCAGCGCCATTTCAGATGGGGAGCAGGGTGTGACCAGGTGGGTGTGGGGAGGCTTAGCCAGGTGGGCTTGGGGAGGCTGGCGGTCCCCATGGGCCTGGGAGAGGTCAAGCCAGAAGGGAGCCAGGCTGAGCCAGGGAGGCCAAGGAGATAGGCCCAGCCCCCTGCAGCCTGTGCCCTGTCTCTGGCCGGGATGGACACTGGCCCCACCAGGCCGTTCCCAGTCCCCAGGTGGGCTCTGGAACCAGCGCATGCATCTGCCTCTCGCTGGGCAGCTGGGTGCCACGCAGTCAGCAGTGAGCAGCAAGCAGCAAGGAAGCCGAGACCAAAGAGCACATAGTGGGTCCTGGCCCTGTCCTCTCTTTAAGTCCCCCTCTGGTGCTTGAACTGTCACTCCAGGGCTGTCTCTCACTTCCAGCCCATTGGCCACCTGGAGTCTAGGGGGCTGGCCCAGGCGGATCCTGCTGCAGGGTGAAGGATGGCACTGGCACGGTGAAGGCTGCGGCCCCAGCACAGACTGGCTGTGTGACCTTGGACGGGGCCCTCCTCCACTGGCATCCTCCTGTGCAAAACGGGAGTGCCAGCACTGACCTTGTGGGCTGTTGAGAGGATGAAGGGGCTGGTGTGCAAAGGGCCGAGCCGTCGTCCCTACAGTCACAAGAACCATGTAGGCAGGGCTGAGGGGGGACGAAGGGGTCCTAGGTGCATTTTATTTTATTTTTATTTTTTTAGAGATGGGGGTGGGGGGGGGTCTCACTCTTGCTCAGGCTGGTCTCGAACTCCCAACCTCAAGGGATTCTCCCACCTCAGCCTCCCAGAGTGCTAGGAGTACAGGTTCCAGCCACCACGCCCACCCAGGTGCATTTTATTTTATGAGAAATGCCTCACTAAAGGCCCCAGATGGTGGTGGGCGTGGCCCGAGGAGGCTCATGAGGCTTCTTTCGCTCTGAGCACCCGAAGTCCAAAGGGACCAAAAGAAAAGGGGAGGGAAGCCAGTGTGTGTGAGGCCCAGGGTGGGCTGGCCTCGGCACTGGAGAAATCGGTAAAAAACGGTCTCTCAGGTTTAGACTTAAAAATGTCCCCCAAACTGCATGGGAGGAGGGGATGCTGCTTTGCTTGGACTCTGAGCCAAGGCCTGGAGCTCCACCCAGCCCCCACTGGGCTGTCCCCTGCTCCCTGCCCCTCCAGGCTTTGAGCCCCCCATCCCATCCCAGAGGCAGCTGCCTCAGCAGTGCCCTTCAAAGCACTTTCCTCTAAGGAGTCAAGGAAGGAGCCTCATAGAAAGTTCCAGATCCCTGCAGAGTTAGTTCTCAGACTGGCTCCTGCCACATGGTTTCACCTCCCTTGACTGCACCCCTGACACCTCCAAAGCCTTCATCTTCTGCCCTTTATTCCCCAGAGTGATCTTGCCCACATGCCACTGGGGCCCTCCATTCTTGGCCCCAAGATGCCCTTTGGCTCAGATACCCCCAGGCAGTCCCTGGGGCCTTTGCCTCCCACTCCACCCTGCCTCCTAACCTCCTGTGGTATCTTTAGAGCAGAGATCAGACCCTGTCACTCCCCTGGGTAAAACCTGCCAATGGCCTCTGGACACAACAAAATAAACTCCCAACTCTGCGTAGTGGCTTGTGGTGCATTTGGATGCAAAGGAGAGGTGGCGGTGAGGTGGCTCACGCCTGTAATCCTAGCACTCTGGGAGGCCAAGGCGGGAGGATTGCTTGAGCTTGGGAGTTTGAGACCAGCCTGAGCAAGAGCGAGACCCTTGTCTCTACTAAAAATACAAATATTAGCCGGGTGTGGTGGCACACGATTGTAGTCCCAGCTACTCGGGAGGCTGAGGCTGGAGCATGGCTTGAGCCCGGGACTTGGAGGTTGCAGTGAGCTATCATGATGCCACCGCACTCTAGCCAGGCCGACAGAACAAAACTGTCTCAAAAAAAAAAAAAAAAAGAAAGAAAGAAAAAAATCCCTGTTGTGGGTCGAATTAAGTTCCCCCAAAAGATATGTGGAAGTCCTAACCCCAGGTAATTGTGAATTTGACCTTATTTGGAAACTGGGTCTTTGTAGATGTTTTTAATGAAGATGAGGTCATACCGGAGTAGAGGCCCTTAATCCAACAGGACTAGTGTCCTCCTAAAAAGAGAGGACACAGAGAAAGACCTCAGGGAGATTGGGCAAAGATGGAGGCAGCGACTGGAGTGATCTGTCATACACCACAGGGCAGCTACCACCAGCAGCCTGGAAGACGCAAAGAAGGGTTTGCGTCCAGAAGGAACCTCGCTGCCTGCTCCTGGATTTCGGTCCTCCAGGACTTCAAGAGAATAAACTTCTGTTGTTTTAGCCACACTGTTTGTGGTATTTTGTTACAGCAGTCCTAGGAAACTATTAATAATACAACCTCCAAGATAACTGTCAAGTGAAGAAAGCGAAGAACAGTCAGTCCCGGGGCCACGCTTTGTGGGGCGTGGACGTCCCCAGCGCTGGGCTTGCCCGGAAGGTGCTGGAGCCCACCCTTGACTCCGGGGGGGCAGGTGGGGACGTTTCCTCTTCACTGCACACCCTGGCTTCTATTTGGATTCTTATTTTTACCACTTCCATATATTAGTTATTCCAAATAAAATTATTCAAATTAGGGAGAAAATGTAAATTAAACTTGTTTAAAAAACCCTCTGCTCCCAGATTTGTTGGTCATGTTTAACGTCCAGCTGTGAGGATGGGGGTGGGGGCCACACCTTGTAGCATTTGCCAATTTCTCCGGGGTTTGCCCCGCTGTGGCCAATTCCGAGCTACCGCAGTGAGGTCACTGAACGGTGGAGCGGCAGGGAGCCAGCACGTCACTCCTCACTTCTGGAGGGTTTGTTAGTGGGACTGAGCCCCTGAGGGGCAGGCAGCAGCAGGGGTTGGTGGCTGCTGCTGCCGCCCTAGAACCCGAAGCGGCCCTGAAGTGAGCACGTCTCAATAAATACTTTGCTTAAATCAGTTCCCAGGAAGGGTCGTGTTGGGGCCTTTCCAGAGAGCGCAGGTGTAGGAGATGGAGGGTGATGGGACGTTGAAGACGTCATGGCCATAAGCCCCACCCAGGCTGTCGCTTAGAGATGCAGCCACCCAGGCTCAGAGAGGTGAGGGGTCAAAAGGGCAGAAGAACCGGATCCAATTGTACTCACCATCAAATTGGTACTAACTGATCAACACTAGGGTGATCACATGGCAGAAATATTCTCTAGGGATTAGGGGGACGGGGGGGGCAAATCTACAACTAAAGGACATGGGGAGCACTAAAGGGAGGGAAGGGCATGCCTTTAACCCGCATTTGGTTGAGGCAAAGACATAAAGTGTAACTATAATGGTTGTACCCTCACAAAACCCTGGAATAATAAATAAAAAAATATAATTAAAAAAAAAATAAAGCTCAAAAAAAAATGATTCTTAAGAACGTTGTAATAGCTTTTGAAAATAAATGGTATGCAATGAAACAAATTTTAAAAGTGGAAAAAAAAAAAAAAGGCCACCCAGCTAGGAGTAGAGGAGCAGGTTGAGACCCGGGTTGTGTCCCCCACCCCCAGAGTGTCCCCTGGTTTCTTTCCGAGGAGAGTGGGGCCAGGGGGACCCCAGGGATCACCAGCCAGCCCCTTCCTGGCCTCCTGCCCCTGGAAACTGGATGAGCTCGATGTCACAGTCTGGCACCTGTGTTTAAACATGGTGCACTGGCCCAGGAGAGCTGGGGCCCTCCTGGGGGAGGCTGGGGGCCCCTCCCTGGTCAGCGGGCAGAACTTTTTGGCTCAGTAGTTGGGAAGGAAAGAGCCTCCTGGCTAGTAGCTGCAGCGGTGCTGGGTGCCCAGGGCTGACTCCAGGAGACAGAGCGAAACTCGGTGGGGTGGGCAGTGAGGCCCCCCTCCCTTTGGCAAACCTCCAGGAAGGCCTCCTCCAGGAAGCCCTCTGGCATCTCTTAGGCTGGGTTAGGTCCAGGAGGTTGAGACAGACACTCCACTCAGACCTCCCTCCAGTAGGAGGCTGCTTCAGGCCCCTCCCCGTCCTGTCCCCCTCGCCGCAGGCCTCCCATTGCTGGGACGGGGGCACTTGCTGGATGGCTGAGCATGTTTACAGGCTTGACATTTTCACCCTGAGACCTTCCTTAGCTCACCTTGAGGATGAGGAAACTGAGGCACTCACATGTATCTGTAATGTACCCCAGGTCACATGGCCAAGCCGCAGGATCCGAGGGCACACAGGCCACCGAGCCGCCCCTCTGACTCCAGGGTGAGGGTGGGGAATGGAGCCTCTTCCTCCAAGACGCACAAAGTGAACCTCACCGCTTAAAAAACCAAAGAATATTTTATTCCCTCAGAGGTTTCTGTACAATAACATCACACTATACAGAGCTGGACTCATCCTCACGGAGCATGGCCCGCCTCCTGGGACACGAGCCACCTTCCTGGGGAGTCGAGCCTGGGGGGCCCGCTCCTGCCCCAGCAGGCACGACTGGCCATCCCTGTGCCCACTACCAGGCCCCCTGTGCCCTCATGGGGACCCCAGGCACTTGGCTGGGGAGTGGACCAACTGACCTTTGGCTTTGTGGCCTGAACTGTGCGAGCCCAGGGCAGGGGGATCCATGCTGCCCTCTGTGGAGCCCTCTGCATGCCCTGGGGACTCTGGCTGGTGGCGGTGGGCCAGGGACTCAGGCATCCACCGGCTGGCCCATGTCCCAACCATTTTAAAGATGGCAGCCTGAGGCCAGAAGGTGAAAGGCTATCCCCTTGCCACAGCTGTATCACAATTTAACTGCGGAGACCACCCCCACTGGCCTGTGCATGCTGCTCTCCCAGGCCCCCAGCTGATGTGGAGCCCCCAGCAGACCCTGTGGCTTCCCGGTCTACCCTCCAGTGGGAGGAGCAGCAGCTGGCCGCGCCGTATGCAGCAGTGCCACATGGAGAAGGTGGGGTGCACTGGCAGAGCATCCAGTCCCGTGACACCAGGAGGCACTCCCAGCTGCCGGCTATCCCTAACAGAGATCAGGGAGGTAGCCAAGAAGTCTCCCTGGAGCTCAGCCAGGTGGAGGGTTTGGGGAGTTAGCAAGTCCCTGGGCAGCCACTAGTGGCTCATCAGAGCCCCCTGGGAACCAGCCTGCAGGACAGCAGCACAGAGGCAGCGGCCAGGATGCCAAGGTGGGGCGGAGGCACCCCCAGTAACATTTCCAGGCAGAGCCATGACTCAGTCAGGCATGGGAATTGTCTCTGAGCTTCCTGACTACACAATGAGGGTATGAGGGTCCCCATTTCGAGACCCTGAGGTCTCGAGACGAGAACACTGAGGCCAGCAGAGTGAAGTCTGTCGCCAAGGTCACCCAGCAGATGAGCGAAATTCCACCCAGGTTTCATGGAATCCACAGCCCACGGCACCTGAGCCAGGCAATCGGCTAAGGGGCCAATTCACGCCATGGCCGGCTTTCTGAAAAGCGATGCCTGGGGAAGCTGGGCGGGGGACGGGCGTCACAGGCTGGAGGGCTGGGCCAGGGAGGACCCCGCAGCGGCAGCGGGCACAGCCTCGCCCTCCGGCCCGGCCTCCTCGCCCCGCACATAGGTGAGCACCACGGTGACAGTGGCGAAGGTGGCGGCGTTGACAGGGAAGGCGCGCAGCAGCGTGGACGCCAGCCCCCGCGTGAAGACGCGCCAGCCCTCGGCCTGGTAGCTCTGGCGCACGCAGTCGAGGATGCCGCGGTAGCGCGGGGCGCCCCGCAGCCCGTCGGCCTGCAGCCGCGACTTGACCACGTCCACGGGGTAGGTGGAGAGCCAGGACGCGATGCCCGCCGTGCCGCCCGCCAGCAGCAGTTTGGGCACCAGCAGGCGGTCGCCCGGCTCGCAGCCCAGCGCGCGCGTCAGCACGTCGTAGGCGAGGAAGTAGACGCCGAAGCTGGGCGTCTCGCGCAGCAGCGTGGCCGCCATGCCCCGGTTGACGCCGCGCACGCCCTCGCGCCGGTAGGTCTGCGCCAGGCAGTCCAGGGAGCCGCGGTAGGCGCGCGCCGCGCCCGCGTCCTGCAGCTGCAGCCGCGTCTTGGCCAGCTCCATCGGGCAGCAGATGACGCACTGGATGGCGCCCGCCGCCGCGCCCGCCAGGAACTGGTTGAGCGGCGAGTCGCGGCCCAGCGCCCGCAGGGTGTTGCCCTGCACGCCGAACACGAGCGCGTTGATGAAGGTGAGCCCCATGAGGGGCGAGCCCAGGCCCTTGTACAGGCCCAGCACCTGCCGGGACAGAGGGGGACAGAGGCGCGTCAGGGCCGCCGGGGTGCGCAGCCCACCTCCTCAGCCCTCCCTGCAGGTGGGGCAGCCCCGCCCACCCCCGGTGCTCCTGAGGGCCGAGCGGAATTTTATCAGAACCCACGTCCCAATTCGCCTTGCCACCGTCCTGACACCTTTTCCCGCTCTCTGGCCTGCAGAGGGTGGCTGCCTGAGGCTGGTTCCCCACCCTTGCACACCAACCGCCCAGGCCACTCACGCTCTCCTGCTTGACGATGGACCGGAAACAGTGCAGGGTGCCTCGGTACTGGGGCTTTTCCACGCTCTGGACCTGAAGCCGCACCTGCAAGGAGAGGGCGCCGTGAAAGGTGGGCAGGCCAGAGCACCCAGCTCCCCTGGCCCGGCACTCCCAACTGCCCGCAGGGTCTCTTGAGGAGGCCCACGGCAGGATGCGTGAGGCAGGGACCTAAGGAGCTTTCTATGGCTTTTGGAATTCCAGGTGTGGCAGGGCCAGCTACCCATGCCTCCTCACGGAGGGGTGTGTGGGGCAAACAGCTACAGGGACAGTCAGCTGGAGACAGGGCAGGACGTCCTCAAGGTCTCAGACGAGTCAAGGTTAAGCCTCTTGTTTTCACTGTGGCTGCACCATGCACTCACAGTGGGGCATAAACTACCTCCCGAGACCAACCCACCATCCAGGTGGCACTTGTCATCCTGCTGAGTGACTAATGTCCCAAACCAGAGCTGATGCCAGAGGAGCTCCCAACCTAATGTCCACCACGTAACTGTCAGGGGCTGGCATTGAGGCAACAGAACTCTTGCTTGGTTTTTGCCTGTAGCCTTTTGGGAGAACAGTGGTCATGACTTAATAGAGTGGTGACAAGAGAAGAGCTGACAGCCTTCTTGGGGACCATGTCAGCAGCTCCGGGGCCTGGGACACTGGTCAGGCCCAGCCGCCTCCAAGCCCAGTGGCCCAGAACCTCTCACATGTCAAAGGGTCCTTTGTTGCCTGAGAGCTTATCTCTGCTCTTGGCGGAGCAGGAGGGACACTTCCTGAACTCGGAATCCGTGTCACGGGGGTGGCAGTAAACTAGGTCACGTCACCATCTCAGGAGCTGGCTCCCCAGATTTGACTCAGGGAAGATCATGATCACAGCCAAGGCCACAAGCGAGCACCCCTGTGCCTGGCAGCGGGGGAGCGGGGAGGGCTCCACCCTCATTATCTCAGGGCATCGGAAGCACCTGCCCTGACGGGTACGATGCCCCCATTTCCAAGAGGGGAAGACTGAGGCTCAGAGTCGTTTTGCAGTGCAGCCTCTCCAGGGACCTGAGCTGCTGTGTGGGGGAGGTGAGGGCAGGGTGGGGTTCTGGCATTCGAGAGCCCTCGCGGGGGAACAGCCAGCTTCAGCCCGGATTCTGGAATTTTTCCAGTTCAATCCACCAGAATAGGTGGATCTTCTATTGGCGAATGCACTCATAAAAAATGCTGTTACCAAAAAGAGTACCGCCTCTGCACCTGAGGCCCTCAGCAGCCGGCAGCCACTGTGCGAGAAACAGCGGGCAGCCGGCGTGCCCTGCCGCGATTCACCCACAGAACCGCTCGCCGGCGGCCCAGCTCCGCCGGCACTTACAGGGCAGCGGCTTTTCAGAGAAAAGCAAAAGCGCCGTTCAACTTCAACAACATGCAACACCGTGAGCTCGGGCTCAGGTGAAGTTTTTGTGACGTGAGGGTTTTCACTTTCCCTTCAGTGTTCTGGGGTCTCTGGTGGCACATTTCTGTTCCTCCTGCAGCCTCCGGCGCTGGCACTAAGAGGGCTGTGGCAGCAGAACAGTGCGAGGTGGGGCTGTCCCTTCCTCGGGTCAGATTTGCGATGCCACCTGGGCAGCGTCGTTAAGTCTCTGCAGGTCGCAGACGCTGTTGAATGCCCGGGTCCTGCCACCAAAGTGGGCAGAGGCCTCTCTCCACTGTCTTTCTGACCCTGGGTCTGTGACAAGCCCTCGCTGTCTGGGACTGGGGGGGACCAAGTCTGGGGGGTGAACTGTGGCCCGATGGCCCAAGTCTCGTGGTATCTAGAGCTGAGGTGCTTAATATTTTGGGGTGACAGGATCTCCTTTGAGGACTGATGGAAATGGACCCACCCCTGGGAAAGTGGTCACTTGCTCACAAGCCCGGGAGGCTTCCGGCTCCCCACGGGCCTGGGAGACCCCCACATGGAGACCCCCAGTCCAGAGGGGTCTGAGTATTCTCAACCAGCCCCACCCAAGTCCCCATCCCAGGACCTGTGCTGGGCCCACACTCGCCTCACACCCTCCCTGTCCCCTGCCAGTCACAGAGGGAACCCTGGGGATTGGGGCGAGGGGGCCGGTTCAGCCGGGACTGACGGAGAAGAGGTTCACCTGGTCTGTACTTACTAGCGCTCTCCGGGGTGAGGCTTACGCTCATCTACAACAAAGTTACACTTTTGCTATGGATGCAGACAGCCCCTAGCTCAGAAAGTAAAGGCGGTTAAAGCAACACAAAATTTCAACATCACATCTAGGGAGGCCAGCCCTTCCCACCCTGCTCCTCCCCTGCCAGGGATGGCCGGCCACCGCTCCGTCGTCGGTCAACATGAAAGCTCACCCTCCCAGACGGAAGCAACTTGTCCCTGACTGTAGTGCCCACTGAAGCAGGACAGCGCGGACCGACATGGACTCGGGTGTCCCCCCGATGTATTCCAGGGTACAGCTCCAATTATATTAAGTTCAAGCCAGGCGAAAGGGGCTCATGGTGTTAGAAGTTTGCACAGTGGAAGCCTTGGGAGAAGGAGGAGCTGCTAGGAGGGTGGGGGCTTCTAGGGGACTGGCCATGGGCTGCTTCTCTTGGGTGGCGGCTTCTGCTCATCTGCAGACTTTACACCTAGGATGTCTGTCTGCGCTTTTCTACAGGTGTTAAATGTCAATTAAAACCAAATAAAAAACAACCATAGCAGAGCCAGGCATAGTGGCACACGCCTGTAGTCACTCGGGAGGCTTAGGCAGGAGGATGGCTTGAGCCCAGGAGTTGGAGGCTGCAGTGGGCTGTCATGACACTGCTGCACACCAGACAGGGCAGTGAGACTGTGTCTCAAAACAAAGAAACGACAAAAAGTAAGTCAATCCCACTTTTGCCAACAGCAAACAATGTACATGGGTGGTCTGTGTGCATTTCTGTTTTGCAGCAGAAGTCATCTGCAAGGGTGGGGGAAAGGATCTACGAAGAACTGGCTTTTTTCTTTTTATTTTATATATCTCTATTATGGTTAAGATTTTTTTACCACCTATACTTTTGTAATAGAGAGCCAACAAAAAATGTGTATGTGCCTGACGATTAAAACACATCTTAAAAATATCGCGTGGCAGGGTGGAGGGTGGATTCTGAGGGCAACGTGCAAAATGTAAACACTGATTTGTGCGGGGAAGGGAAGAATTGGCTTTCCCCCCTACATTTCCCAATTGTCTTTTAACGAGAATATTTAACTTCTGTAACGGAAGGCAGTCCAGACGGCAGGGAGCCTGCGAGTGGGTGGGACTGGTGGGGCAAGGAGGTGCTAACCGCAGCAGGTTTTCTCCCCTTTCATAATAAAAAGTTCGGCTTTTAAAGGCAGGTCTGACCAGATGTGATGCTGGTGGGCCACAGTGGCACAAAAAAAAAAAAAAAAAAAAAAAGTCACAAAGTCACGAATGGATCTTTTCAAAGACCACCCTGCAGGCTCCAGGCAAGTAGGATCTGGGAGCCAGGAACCCGGTGAAGTGGGGAGGGGTCCTGCACCCAGCTGTTCACAAAGGTACTGGCCAAGCACTCAAAGGTGCTGGCCAAGCGCTTGGCAGCTCAGATGGTCGCAGAGGCATCAGGACGAAAGCCTGACAGGGACTGGATGAGGGCCAGATGGGAGCCCGAGGGAGGTCTGGCCAGGCCCGGGGATGCGTAGCTCAGAGAAGCCTGGCCTGTGAGTAGCTGGGCAGAGGTGAATCCGAGGTACTTCTTGGCTGGACACAGCTGTGAGAGGCATTCACAGCACGTGACCACAAAACATAAACATGGCGTCACGTGGAGACCACCAAGCTGTCCTGGGCTGCTCTGGGCTGCAGGTAGGTGTCACGGGTGGCCTGGCTAGGCGGAGTGTGGGCATGGCGGGCAGGCTGCATGCAAGGGCTCTGCCAGGGCCTCGCTCTTGGCAAACCTGTGTTGGGAACTCAGGGGCCGCTGTCTGCCAGGAAAGCCTGGCCCTTGAGCCTCCTCTCCGGACCTGCCTGCTGAGCTGGTGTTTCATTCAACACAAACTACACTGTCGCACACCCGCCACCAGGAGGGGTCTAGACAATCTCTCCCAACCCCTCATTTTGCAGATGAGAACATGTGAGCCCAGAGGTACAGTGACTGGCTCAAGGTCAGGTGTCAAACCAGCTGGCAGAGGGGATGCCAGCCCCCAAATAACACGTTATTTTCTCTGCCAACAAACACCTGGGCTCACTGAAAAAAGAGGAGACGGCAAGTCTACCTCAGGCCCAGCTCGGGTGACACGTCTTGCTTTTGGCTCTGCCTCCCTCCACCGGGAAAAGGTGCCAAGTTCAGTGTTTAGGGCAAGTACAGGTCTGGCCTCTTGCCCGCTGCTTACAGCCTGCCCTGGGTCCCAGGGAACGGCAAGGAAGGGTCCTGGCGTGGCTAGTTTAAGAACATAAAACCCCAACCGAACACTTATTTGGGAAATTTCCAACTGGAGGACATGGATTTCTTGGTTACTGTTCCGGGGCGTCTGAGACTCGGGACTCCCCTTACCACGCTGTGGGGCACATCCAGGGGGAACCGGCCGACTGGGCACCTGCCCCAGGGCCTGACGTCCCAAGTAGGGGCAACCCTCCGCGGCCCTTCCCTGGGTCTCTGGCCACGGACACCTCGCAGGTACACATCGGCACTTGGGACACAACTGCTCACTTTCTCCATAATGACAACTCCACTCTGTGAAGATCATGTCAGTGGGAAATACTGACAAGCGTGGATCTTTCTGTGTTTCTGTATTTTCTCTCTAACTCTCTTTCAAGAAGCCGTTAGGAAGTTCTGCATCAGAACAGCGTGGCGTCCTCGCTCTGGGTGGGAGGAAACGAGCTGCTCAGCACCCTGGGCTCGGCCAGCCAGTCCGAGGATGGACTTGGCCACGAACCCAACGTGGCTCAGCCAAAGACACAGGACAAACCTGCACGGAAGGTTCAGCGTGGCCCAGTGGAAAAGCAGCTGCCACTGGGGCGCAACCTTTATCCTCAAACCCACGCGGAGACCTTGAACGCCGTCCCAGGGCTGTAACCGGAAAGCGGCCTCCAGCCACCCCAACCCTGCCGGTCCCTCTCAAGGCCTGAGAAGAAAACGGTGACGACAGACTCACCTTGACTGTGTCAAACGGGTGTCCCACAAGCACACCGGCCACACCTGGAGGAGGAAAGGGGAACATGTGACCCAAAAGCCTCAGAAACTTGCAGTGCAGGGCGCCAGGGTAGGACGGGGTTCTGGCGGGGAGGACCGGGCAGGAACCGCTGGAGGGGAAGGGACGCTGACCAAGCACCTGCCGGGCGCCGGGCACATCCCACGAGCTCCTGTGATCCTCACGTCCAGTGGGGTGTGTGTGTGTGAGACAGAGACATCCCAAGGTCAAGCCAGCATGTCCTACTCAAAGCTGGCGTCCCATCCCTCGACTGCTGCCGACTGCCGTGGACTGGTCTGGGTGGATGACCATGAAAGTTGTCCCCTGAGAGGCTGCACACGTTGTTTCTGGGAAGTCTCACTGCTCTGAACACCTTCTAGTATGAGCAGGAGGCTTTAGGGATGTTGGACTTTGGGGTCAGACCCTCACCCTGACTCGAATGTTCCCTCTGCCACTTACCAGCCAGGCAAGCCCCCAACCACTCCCGTCTGAGCCTCACTCTCTTCACCTGTCAAGGGTTATCTCCCTCCCCCAGGGGAGCATGGAGGTTAAATGGGGTAACAGCCCCCTCGGGAAACGATGACCCTGGGTCCTGATGCATTGGCTGACACCTCTGCTCCACTCCCCTCACCTCCCAGAAGCCACCCCAAGCCTAGGGAGACATCGTGTGACTCCGCAGTCATGCTTGGTTATTTTTCAGTTCAGGCCCTACAAAAATCCAGCCCCCATCAAAGGACAAAGGTTACCCCTCCGAAACGGCTCACAAACACTTCTCAGAGTCCTGCATGCTGAGCAGGCTGTAAACATGCCTGTGAATGTCGCCAGCACCACTGTGAGTAAGGCAGCCTTGTTACCTATGTCACTAAAGGAGAAACTCAGGCTCAGTGAGGTCAAATGACTGACACTGACTCCCACACTCCCCCCACCCAGAGTTTTACGAGTATGTCTGTTAAAGTTCTCCTTTTATTGCTAATACTGTTTCTGTATCATTAAAACAGCCCACATTTGTTGAATAACAAACAGTAATATTACAACCTGCTAGTTACTGTTCTCAGTTTTGTATACAAACTAACTCTTCCACTTATATACCTGGTAAAAGACTATTAACCCATTTTACAGATGAACAAAGCAAGGCACAGAGAAGTAGTGTTCATGTCACGCAGCTAGGAAGTAGCTGGAGCAGGGATTCAAACCTAGACCTGGCCCTGGCACCCTCCTCGTCAACCACTCACCTCTCTCCTTCCGTGCTAGACTCCGGTGTCACATGAGTGCATGCCCAAAGGTTCGTGGGAGTTACTGTGCATCTTCTTCACAAATTATCCTTCTAATCTTTATATGATACCCTCTTCATGCTGTTAAATGTTTGGACCTTACAATCCACTTTGAAGTAACTTTGCCAATCCCTGCTTTCTCTCAGGTTACAGGTGCCTGGTATAGTTTTACCTAATTCCTTTTCTTTTTTTAATTTTTCACAGACACTTCTCATACCATATAGTTTTGTCCAGCTCTTAATTTTGAACCTTTTCTTACTATTTTGTTTTAGATGTTTCTTGCAAACAACTATAGCTGGGTTTTGTTTTCTAACCCAGTCCGAAGCAGTCTCAGATTTTGCTGAAATAACGGAGGGATCTGACTTTATGCCGCCTTACTTTATGCGAATGATTTGTTACTACTTTTCCTTTCCACATTTTTGACGGTTTGGGCAAATTACTGTTTATCCCCTTTCTGATTGTTAATTTGTAAGTTTGGCAAAGTGTTACTTCTTGTTTCTAACACTCACTACACAGAAACAGAATAAGCACCTGCCACCTGCCCCCGGGACTCTCCGCCCCTTTCTGTCCCAAGCCGCCCCCAAAAGCTCCCATTCCTGCCGCCTTCCACTGACATTTGCCTGTAAACCCTGAGAGGCAGAGTTCCCAGCTATTCCCTCTCCTGCCACTTGGGGTCTCTACTCTGATCAACTGCCATTTACCTGGCGCTTTCCTGGTTATTTCCCTTAGATGTAACACATGGGGAAACGTCCTCTGAATTCTTGCTCATCTGCAAAATACATTTCTTAGTACTGTAAGGGAACAATAGTAATGCTCTGGTAGGGTTCCTGGGCCAGGCAGCAAGGTCTGCAGTCTCCAGTCTCTGGGCTTCCAGGCCTGCAGATGAGAAATCTGCTGCCAATGTGTTTTTCTCCCTTGTCAATAATTCATGTGTTCTGTCAGGAAGCCTCTGAGATTGAATCTGTGGATTTCAGGCATGTCACACCAGGAGATGCCAAGGGTGTGTCTCTTTCTTTAAAGCAACCCTGCCTGGAACTCTGCCAGCCCTTTCACTCTGCAGACTCCTGTCCTCCCTGATCAGGGAAAATTTCCACTATTAATTATTCATCATCTCCAGACCTGCTCCCTCTTCTCCTTCCAGAACCCCTAACGTCCACAGGTGGATGAGAAGACGTCCACCAAGCCTATCTTCTCCTTTGTGACTGCCACCTGTGTTTCCGGTCTTCTGGGACACACTCTGTTT